ATATTCTTATAAAAGGTATTTAAATTTTCAAACTACTTTTTCTCATTAATTTTAAATTTTAAGAAAAAAATTAGCAGGCACCCGTGTAATACACGGGTGTTGTACTAGTAATCAATAAATTAAACAACTATTAATAATTAAATTTAATCCTCGGTGTTAATTTCAAATTTTGTACTAAGTACCTTAATTATAATCATGGAAATTCATCTAACATATGAGAAAGAGTGTCAAAGCCCACTATAATTACGTCGTTTAATGAAAAGGGTTAAAAATTTATATATTGTTGAAAGGAAAATGTATAATGCGTGACAATACAAAAGTTATGGAACATAAAAACTTTGTGAGGTGGGTTTAAAAAACTTTTGAGCTCTACAACATAAGTCACAATTGATTAGGCATTTGATGAGCTATTAGTTTATACATGTATAAAACTTTGTGAGGTGGTTTTAATAACAAAGTCCTTGGCTAAATGTTGTGATAGCGTGAAACGAGCCATTCGTGAGTTTAAACTCGCAAACTTGTTTAATTAGCTATAGTGAGTTGGGTTGAAGTCAGTTCGTTAAGGCTTGATAAATATATATATATATATATATATATATATATATATTTTTCATGGCAAGGGTTGTGATGTAGCAGCCAGAAGTAGCACGACACACCGACCTGTAAGAGTAGCTCGGCTAAGGCCAGGCAAGAAGAACTCCCGCGTATAAAAGCAAGATGTTTGGTCAGGTAGCTCGAACCAGCAATTAAGATAACCGAGCATACATAACAGACCCGACCTGAAGGTATCGACCTTCATGCCCGACAACGTAAGCAATCTCGGTATATCGAGGTCGAGTGGTCTGAGGCAGGTTAGACCTAAAGAAGAAGTCGGATCAGACCTCAGGACAAGGTGATGTACATGCTCGAAAAGGCCATGGTAGACAGAACAGGAAGTCGATTTACGACAAAAGGATCTGCGGGCTAAAACAGTAAAAGGGAGGAAGAATCGAAGTAAGAAGAAAAAAATCACTCGCTCAAGGGCTCTTGCTAGGATAGAGACGTGATAAGTTAGATAAGGGCTAATGTATTAGGTTCTATATAAGGACGAAAGGTTCTTTCTGATTACACAACTCACAATTCACGCCTAATTTCATATATTTACAGCATACGATCGAGAGAGTTTTGACTTGAGCGCGAAGAGTTTTCCGCCAGACCCCTTCCCATCGTATCACAGGTTATAGGAGGCTCAAGAAGGAGAATCGTTCAAGACCGGAAGTGTTCAATCTGTTCATGACCAAATGTGATGTAACAACTTGTTAAAACTCAAGTTCGGCTCGAATCAGAACTCAAGTATCAAGAACTCGAACTTAACTTGGCTCGACTTGTTTATAACGCTATACAGAGTTAACAATATCTAAGCAGACGTGTCCACCAGTTTCGATTTGGACCCGATACTTGTTTTTGTTTTCTCATCCGATTCCAATTCACAATTGTCCATTTAAGATAGTTTTCGTCTTCCTATCACCGTCTTTGAGTTCTATATATTGGCTTACAAGAAGTATTGCACGGATAAGATTATAAGAGTGTTCAAAGTCCATCTCTTGGAGAACGTAAAGAAAAAAGGGTTGGAAAAGAAAACCAAGCAAGAAAACAACAAGAGAAAATGAACTTGGTTTTAAACAAAATGTTGAAACCAAATCAAACCCTCTCGATCAAGGCAAAACTCCCTCAAAACAATTAAAATCAAGTAGCTACAAAACCTTGCATGCGTATCTTGGGTTTATGTATTTTTATGTGCTCAAGTTTTCTTGGATTAATAATTGAAATAATTAAAATTAAACCGTAACTCTTATGAAACTCATTAAAGAACCCATTACATATGGATATATGTATGGAGTTAGTTGCCTAAGACATGAAGCATTGGGACAATTAGAAAAGCCATTTTGGTCTCCCTTTTGGTGGGTTATATTATTGTGTGTGTGTGTGTGTGTGTGTGTGTGTGTGTGTGTGTGTGTTTTAATTAATTAAGTTTCCTTCTATTAAATCTCAAATTGGTGGCTTTTTATGTCAATGTAGCTTGTGTCTATATATAAGACCTTAAAAGGAGTTTTTATTCTTCTTTATCTTATTTTATTTCATTTTATATGTTTTTAATCATCCCAACAATTTATTAATTTAACTCCGTGTTGACTGAATGAATTGTTGTTGTGTTTGGTCAATGAATCTCAGTGTCTGTCAGAAAGTTATCTCAATTTTATTACTAACACCTCCAAATGGGATCAAACAATGTAAAACTTTGACTTTTGATATAACTATATATGCATCAATCAATTAAATTCTTTAAGTGTCACAGTAAATTTAATTATGTAAATTCACTGCAACTTTGGATTATTGTTTTTTGGAAATGTTACGACGGTCCCATTACGGAACCATTCTGTCGTGATTTGTAACCGTTAGATCATCATGTAACTGTCAGCGACAGCTGATTTAAAGGTGAATCCTGATGAAATGGTTCGTAACGAGACCGTAGCATTTCTATTCTTTTTATACACATCAGATTTTTTCTTCTGCTTAATTTGTCTCTCATTTTTACAGTTTTATTTATTAATTTTTTTTTTTTTGGATGTAAGTGTAACCAATTTACTGAGAAAAATTTATTTTGCACTATTATTATATATATATATATATATATGTGTGTGGGAAAAATAATTTATTTATATATATGAGAAAAATAATCCATTTACTTTAATGACTCAGGTAGACCGCGAGTCCTATAAATAGTCTTCACCAATTAAACACAACACACATTACTATAAGAAACCAAAACAAAACCCAAAAATTTCCCCCCACCCAACAAATGGATGAATATTCATCAGGCTTCTGCGTCCGGCCACCACCCGGCGCCGCCGGCACGGGGACAAAGTGCGGGCGGTGGAATCCGACGAGCGAGCAGGTGAAGGTGCTGACGGAGCTATTCCGGTCGGGGCTCCGAACTCCGAGCACCGACCAAATACAGCGAATATCCTCACAGCTCAGCTTTTACGGCAAAATCGAGAGCAAAAACGTTTTCTATTGGTTTCAAAATCACAAGGCCAGGGAAAGGCAAAAACGCCGCAGAGTTTTATTGCCTGATCATAATCACAATTATAATCATTATAATCATAATAATCACAATATTAATAATAATAATAATAATGTTAATTATAATTATAATAATAGTAATCACAATTATAACGATCAGATTATCCACCACCTTCAAGATGCCACCGCCACCGTCACCAAGGACTCGGCCACAAAATCATGTGAGTTTTTAATTTTATTTTTTTAATTATTTTATTTTGTTTTAGTTTGTTTTTGTTTTTTATTTTCATTTTGTTTGTATTCTATTTTTGGATAAATGTACAAGTAACTGGTGTTATATTTTATTTTATGTTTAATTTTTTTGCATTGTCCTGCAGTAGTTTTAATGTATATTAATTTGTCATTGTCACCATATAATTAAATTAAATGCTTAATAATAATAAATGTCATAATTTATCCATTGGCCACCGCCCCACCGCATTATTTCCATTTATTAGATATATTTGATATTATAAAATCATAAATTTCCATCTTCTTTTGCTCTCTTTTATTCGTTTTTTTTTTTTTAAATAAAATTTGCATTCAAGCAAATAAATTCGTTTTCTTAAATTTATTGGCTTGCGCATATGGAATAATTTGAAATTTAATTATATATACTTCCCAAAGCATAAAGTATTTATGAATGATTTAATTACCTCCTAGTTATTATATTAAGAGTGGATAAAATAGAGAGGTTCTACGGTCACCATAACGTCGGGTTTTGTAATCGTTAGGTTAACTATCAACGACGGTTACATGATGATCTAACATTTAGAAAGCCCGACAGAATTATTCACGGACTGCAGCATTTTTCGAATTTGAAGGAAAAAATAAAAATAAAATAACTTGCAGAATATCAATATTGCAAATTAACTTTTGACCTTAATCTAAGCTACATACAGCTTTTGTTAGTTAAATTTCCTCTAAATCGAGTGGTTTCATCCAACCGTCTAATCTTCACTAATACAAATTAAAATAAAATGTGCCAACTTTTTTATCTTTTGCATGCATATGCTTCTTTAATAAATAAATATTCAACTTTTTAATATATATATATATTTTTTTCATATTTTGCAAGATTTCGGTCACGACGTGGATCAAGTCCCCGAGCCAGAAAGAGCAATTGAAACCCTTCAACTCTTTCCGATAAACTCTCTAAGTCTAAACGAACGTGCGAATGATTCGGAGAGAATGAGACATTTTAGCGACGATTGCAAGGAAAATGCGTCGTTTGCTTACAACATGGGCTCGGACGAAATGGATCACCCGACTTTGGACCTAAGACTAAGCTTCGTTTAGGATGATATATATCTTCGGGGTAATTCATCTTCGCAAATATATAGTCTGATTTGTGTTTTTTCGACTTATTGCGACCTTTTGAGAGGGTTTTAGGGTATAGAGATGAATGCATGGATGATCAAGCAAATGGGGGGTTTTAGAGGTTATGAGAATATGTTTGTAGAGTGGGATTAATCTGCTTTTGTTTTTTTTTCTTGATTTCTTTTGTTTAGTTTGTGGGTTTGGACCGTTTGGTTTGGGATGTGTACAATATGTTAATTGCACGTAGCCCTAGATATGGTGAATCTTAATGTGTTTTTTAGTTTCGAGACTCGAAAATGACTAGGGACATTCTGTCTCAACTTGTATTTTGCTATAACAATTGACAGGGGTAAGCAAAATTGAGTCGAAACTGAAAAATCGAGCTAAACCGTGCCAATCGTTATGTTACAGTTCGATTTTGGTTAAAGTTTTTTTAGCACATTGTTGTGCGGTAAAGATACAGTTTTTCATAAATTTGGTTTTCGATTTTGTTCGGTTTCGTGTAGTTTTGCACCGAACCGCACCAAATTGAATAAAATATAGAGAAAAATCGAGGTAAAACGAAAACCAGAGTCGTGCATTTCGGTGCAGTTCAATTCAGTTATTTTGGTGTAAAAAAAGTTGGTAAGGTTTTGGTTCGATTTTTTTTTTTTTTTTAAGTTGTGGTACCATTTGATGATATATTTGCTAGTATGGGTTTTTCAGTTTTTTAAATGTTCGGTGCAATTATTGCTCTCCCCTAACAATTGACGCTGTTAATAATGTCACACTACAAAATAAATGTTATATTCCAACGGAAAATCCTATGGTAATATATTCCAATGGAAATTCCAACGGATATTCCAATGGAATAGCTTCAGTTGGAATAGTTCCAACAGAAATTCCAACGGAAATATTCCGTTGGAATGTGTTTTCCATTGGAATTTTAGATGGAATTTGATGATTCCAACGGCTATAATTCCAACGGCTTTGTACCGCAGGAATTTCCGTTGGAATATGCAAATTCCGTTGGAATTTTTTTTCCACCCCCGTTGGAAAATCCACCGTTGGAATCGTCAAAATCCAACGGAAATTCCAATGGAAAACCCATTCCAACGGAATATTTTCGTTGAAATTTCCGTTGGAATTCATTGAAAAATTCCAACGGAAATAATAGTATTGAAATATCCGTTGGAATTGCTGTTGGAATAATTCTTTTGAAATATATTTCCGTTGGAATTTCATCATTTTCTTGTAGTGTCAGTTTCTGGTCCTTTATGATTTTGCACAATTTTCTAATTGTAGGCATGCTAATTTTTTTTTGGTACAGGGACCTTCCGGTTTCTGGATCTATAGGGGAACCGACTAATTCGGAATCGAGCCGGGTAGGACTACAAGGGCGGCAAAGCTCTCCTCAAGAGTTTTTAACACTGTTAATTTCAAGTAATTTGATGATAAATAATTAAATATTGGAGAAAATTACAGTTCCACAATGTCTCTACCGCTGGTCCTACAATAAACTGCCATTCTTAGTTTATTACTGATGAAATTATGTATGTTGGGCCGGAAAGTCTTGGGTCAGTTAACCATTTGGTTTGGGCCGTTTCAAAAGCTCCGTATAGCCTGGACTGCGAGTCACAAACTTCTTAGAGGAATTTGCACCACGTGCAGTAACATTTGATTTATTTAACAATTTTACATTTGATTCAATATTATTTGTAAAATTGTTGAATCAACACAAAATAATTACACATGTACCAGAGTTTAGATTTTAGTAAGTTTATCCATTAATTAAGGTATATATTATCTCCTTGATTATCTCCATAAAAACCGTCTATTATTTTTGCCAAAACATTCCATTCACACACCACCACCACCATAGTTTCAATCAGCCATGGAGTTCCACAACTTTCACTTTTCTCTCACTAGTTTTTTTTTCCTCAATTCTTATGTTTTATGTTCATTTCATGGTGGATTTCGTATCGATTTGTATCTGATTTGAATTTACAAGAAAAATTCTTCTTTATTTGTTTTGAACATTATTTTCTTCTGCGGGGTAGGCGTGGGGCAAGGTACATGGTCCCCCAGCAATGGCATCAGGTCGACGGCGGGGTTAATGGAAGGCATCGACTCGTCGGCGGCCCGTGTTCGGGTGTATTTTCGCTGGGGCTTTTCGCTGATTGAAGGCATTGACTCGCACCATCCTCCCCGCCGAGCTCGGGCCGTGGTCCCAAACCGAGCACCATATGAGGCTATAAACGAGTAAAACGGTTGCTTGTGTTTGCTTGATTGTCCAAAAATTCAAGGCCTCGAATTTAATTCATTGCTGCTTGATTTTAAAGGAATATTTGCTTGATTACAAATTGGCGTATTGAAGGCTGCTTGAAAAGTGACGTATTGAAGGCTGCTTGTTACAAATTATTTGCTTGATTGTCCACTTTCAAGGCTGCTGCTCGAATGAAAATATGTATATATATATATATTGAAATATACTGCAGATATACTTTCTCTTTGACGTGAAATATACTCGAATCGTGAGTGATTAGTGAAATATATACTAACATAAACCAAACAATATATTGTTGAACATAAACCAAAAATATACTTGTACTGCACATATAAAACTAAACTGCTAAACATAAACCAAAAATATTAAAACTACGCAATTTGTTTCTATGAACAAATACCAAAAATATTCTGTACATATGCTCCCCGAACGTCTTTCAATTTTTTTTCCTGTGACGCGAACATGAGATTCGATCGTCTTTCACTATGAACAAATACCAAAAATATACTGAACATATACTCCTGAAAGTCAAACACGATTATGCTCATCTATATAATATCTTTTCCATATTGAATATCCTGAAATTGTGCTCTAAAAATATGGAAGGTTGTTCATCTTACCCGTAACTGTTTTTAGGCATGTATGTAACTTTTTATCTCTTAAGTATTTACACAAATTTATTGGTTTGAATGGTAATGTTGCAATTACTTAAAAAATGGTAAGTATACATAAAAATTTCCCAACTTCTTATCACAGTGATTGAAGCGGACCATTTCTCGATTTGTGAAATTGAAAAAAAAAAAAAAAGAAGAAGAAAGACAAAAAAGAGAGATAAAAGTCTATTTTTTTTTCTTCAAAAATTGAATTATTGAGAGATTCTATAATTCCTCAGGGAACAATTCCGTCAAGCTTTGTAACCGTTAGATCAACTATCAACAACAGTTACATGATGATTTAACGGTTACAAAAAATTTTAGTAAAAGGAAGATGAGTATCTAAACCTCTTTCTTTTTGTAAGTCAATTTCGTCATGAGATGGTAACCTCTCTTTTTTTTTTTCTTTTGTTTGATAATATGTTATTCAACAACACTTTTTCATTTTGGCATGCTTATTGTATTTTGGATAATTGGATAAAGCAATAATTAAGAAGATGGTGGACAAATTAATTTGGTATCATTGCATTAATAATAGATGTGAAAAGTCTACACACGATTTTAATGTTAGAATTGTAGGTTACCGTTGCGCAAAATACTATGGGACCATAGACTTAACCCGTGATAGCAAAAATTGCGCCTTATTTTATTGGTCCATTAATGAGCATAAAAGTATTTGGTAAAAAGTGAAAAATAATCCTACAGGTTAAAAGTTTGTAAATATGTAATTGTGATTGATATTGAGAGAAATGTTACGGTCCCGATACGGAATCATTTCGTCGAGGTTTGTAATCGTTAGATAATCTATCCCCGACGGTTAAAATGATGACCTAACGATTATAAACTCCGACGGAATAGTTCCGCAGTAGAACCACAACATCCCCTGATATTGAAAGTAGTGAATAGTATTTTTTTACACAAGATATATAACAATGTAACTAGGGACTATTGTTTTTTTATTTTTATTGTGTTTGGTAAGGATTGTAAAAGAAAATAGGCAGCACAATCAGGTGATAATAGTTATTCTTATTTTAATTTTTTTTTTTATTTTTGGTACAAAGCAAGTTATTGATCAAAAACTACGGGAGGCAAACGTTTCGTGGGTAAGAGACACCCCTCATGTCGTACTCGATCCATAGAACTACACCCGGAGGCGGAGTAGGGAGTAGATAGCACCCATGAGCTGCCGAAGCCGCCAAGGCTGCTAAATAGTCTGCAGCAAAATTGGCCTCACAGAAAATGTGGGAAATCCGCTCCTGCCAATCTCGACTGAGAAATTCACGTATTCCCAGGACTAAACCATAATGAACTCCAGGCTGATAATAGTAATTATTTATTTCGATTTACATCTATATTAGTCACATTAATAATAGCAAAGGGGCAATGCTATATGTACACCCCTTTTTAATAAATTACACAAAGGGCAATGCTATATGTACACCCCTTTTTTACACACAAGGGGGTGTACATATAGACACCCCCTAGCAAAGACATAATATTAGCAATCCTAACAGAAAAGAGATAAGAATAGCAAAAAAATGCAAGATGTAAATTAAAGGCACTTTATTTGAGTGCTTTTCCCTTTTGTATTGGGCTAATTGATTCAATTTTTGGTAGCCAAGTGTCAAAGCACACCAATATTATTAGCTAACGCACCTATATGCCAAACCATGATTTGTTGCCCGTGGCTTTGAAGATCAACTAACCTTATGATGTTAACCAAACAAGTTATTAATATAGAAAAATAAAATAAAATAAAAATTATTAAGCGGAAATAAAACCTATTTAATTATACTTACATGGCAATTTTACATTTTCCTTCAAAAAACTATTACTTTTGATTTATTTAACCTTTCATTTAATTATTAGATAATCAACACACTAATCACTTCATAATTACAAAAATCATTTAAAACTTTTGATCACTGACAGTTGACCATATAAAGTGTTGACCGTATAATGTGATTAGATGTTACTATTGTTGTTACATTTAAATTAATTTTTTTGGAAAATAAAAAAATGTATGTGAAATTTCTAAATAAATAATAAATAATTCACAAAAAAAATACGTACCAAAATTTACATTACATCCAATCTAATAAACGGAATTTTTAAAAAAAAAACAAATATATATATATACATATATTCCAACTCTTTTAATTGTAAATTTAGCCAGCAAAAAATAAAAATAAAATCATTAATCATTGTATGCATATAAATAATTTATAATACTTTATTTACCTGCAAGTGCACATGATTGAATATTAGTTAAAAGGTTAATTCTCCAAAATGTGCCACCCCATCAATTTCTAGTTTCTTCACTATATCAAGAATATCTCATTCTCTTTCACATAATTTGTTTTAAAATCTGGTATTCAACTGGAATAATTTTGCATACGACAAGAAAAAAGATTGGAAAGACTCGCTCAAATATTGTCAGATTATACGTTAGTGGATTTAACCATTAGAGCGGCATAGTTGTTTTTTCATAACTATACATAATTTTATTACATAATATTGGTCTAACTAACAACAAAAA